GGAGCTGAAGGTGAATTCTTTCCTAGTTTCATGCCTTCTTCAACAGATGGCAAAGCAATCAGTAGATTACTAGTTGGTTCTAGAAGGAAAGCAGGAAAGGAGGAAAGAAGGGAAGAAAAGGGAGGGAGGGAGGGAGGGAGGGAGAAAACAAGGAACTGAAGCTTTCTAAATCAAGATCCAGAGCTAATTCTTACTTTGATATAGTAAGTGTGTTTGATTCTGAAGTTGTTTCGTTTTCCTTGCAAAGTTAGAAGGACCTCAACATGCAGAAGAACTGCCTATGTCTAATACTTGTGATTGAAGAATATTTCACCTGGGGCTCCTCATGTTGCCTATCTCACCTTTGGCAGGTGGTTGGTAAGGCTCTTCAAACTAAATTCTGCTAGGATTAACGTATGCAGATAGAATTCATGGCACAATGAATAGCAGTGTTTTGGGACAGTTTTACATTAGGCACAACTCGATTTGGAAATGTTTTTCAGGTCTTATCTGTTTTCAGTGATGCTTATAACCCCTATTATATTTCAACAATTTTGAAGGTACCCAACCATATGAAATACTGAGCTTTGGCAAATGTCAATAATTTCCCCTCTAACACATGTAAACAATGCTGCCATTTCCACACACAGCACAGCATGAATTTAAAAACAAAACAAAACAAAAACCTACTTCCTCCTTTTCCCCAAAACAGAGATACAACATCAGTAAAATTAGACATCTTGAGCTAAATCCTTTCCAACAACTCATATAAGAACTGTATTTTAATTTTAAGAAGTACAACACTTTCTACAAACAGGCTTTGTGGTGATCACCACAGGCAAAATACAGTTAGTGATTTAATTTCAGATATACTACCCAAAAATACAGTCCAGCAATAGCACAGGTTGAGACAGTCTGCCTGAAACTAATGTTGATTTTCTGCATAGATAGTAAATTATTGTAAAGAAATGAGGCAGTGCACAAGTGAATGGCACATACATAATGTCTTTCAGGAAGACATATTTTTATTACTGTGCTCCAGGATAGGCCGACTGAATTCAGAGTTCATCATAGTTGAAAATATAGCAGCCCTTGTGCGCTCATTGTTAATTTTGAAGACCTGGCTCCCTACCTACTACTTAATGTCAGTAACAATTAACTTCCGACTGGAGGTTAAAGGTATATTTATTTGTTTATCTTGACCTATTAATTAGTAAGAGACAACTTTCTAAAATTAAAAGACACTTAATGACTCTGTAAGGACATAAAGAAAGCAAGAAACACATGCAGCAGAGCACCTCTTGTGTCATTTTAAGACCAGTGCTGGCTCTTATGATAGCCTTTTATTTACACATAAATGCTTGTTGCTTGACAATTTAGATAAAAATGTTACTGCTGCTCTGCATGTGCTGTAGATTGAAGGTGTAAAACCACTGGACCAACTAATGGAGTCTTCACACATCGTATCTTGTTAAAGAAAAGGTAACCCACTCTCAAATGCTATTACAATTCATCAAATCTACAGTATATTAAGAATAGACTCTGAACAAAAATCTAACTTCTGTCTTTCTGAGTAAAATGCCAAGTTATGTACTGATTTAGACCATGCCTTTTCAATAATAAGAATAATGGTTCCAAAATTCCTTGAAAACATGAAAACACATTTTTAATCCCATACTTCTCTAAACAATCACAATTAAAAACCAACCAAACAAACAAAAAACAGTGATACGTCAGGGATCTTGAACTAGGCTGCAACTTAAAAACCAATTCTGCACATGAGTTTATTTCATACATTTACCTCAGGTCAAAATTTGACTTTCTCATTCAAGTCTTCCTGGTTTTAATTTAAGTTTTAAGGAGAAGTAATATTGCCACAAATGCTAACAGCTACAATGAACATTTGATAAGTAGTGGTACTGAAAGGTATCGCTCAGCCCTGCTATATTTCTAACAGATGTGGATGATGCGATCATCCATTCATTTTACTGTCTGTTTCACCATCCACACATGCATTTTAATTGAAACGTAATTTGAGAATCTTTTGTATTCAGCGCATGCACAATCAAAGATATACATTATTGAGTTATGAATTAATTGTGCCTAAACAAACTGGGGGAAAGGAAGAAAAGGGTGGGGCAAGAAGGGAAGGAATATAAACACATATGTAAAAAACAGTGTCCCTCCTTACACAGCCTTCTTCGTTACCTTAGTGTTTTGACACCCACAAATCTGTGAGCCTGAATCTGCTAAACAGCTCCAATAGTAGCCAATTTGTTGTCTCAGTCCTTCAGACCCTCAAGGATTGATAGTTCATTTGTAAGCCAGTATCCAAGAAGAAACTACTAATTATACCAAATCTGCAAAATTGCATGATGGTTTTGTGATTTGGTTGAAAGCTAAGATCTCCAAACTCATTTCACTTGTGAGCTAAGAAAGATTCCATTTTAGACCTCCAGAGGTGGCAGTCTGGAGCAAGAGAACATCACGTCACCAGCAAGGCTCTATTTATAAGCTCTTGTTGCACAAGATACTGAAATCAGTCAAAGAAATCTAAAACTAGGGGTTTGCCTAAACATAGCATGTTTCCTGCTAGGTCAAATCTGCTGTTTATAGAATTTCAGTATTTTATGTTTAATTACTACATAGATTATTGATTTATTTATAAGGCTATGAGAAAGTAAAGTCATAAACATAGCAATTGTTTACTAGTTAGTTGGATTAAGCATAAATAGATTGTGCAAGCTTAGCAAAAAACCTTTCACCAAGCTGAATCAGAACATTCAAACCGTATTTTCAAATGTCTCTCTCTGCCTTAGCTAAATTCCAACATGACACATAATAAATAGCTTCTCATTTACTATCATCATAAAAATTTAAACAGCCTTGAAACAGTTGCTACAATACAGGGGAAAATGATCAAATGTATGTTCTAAATACCCACTTAGAACAGTAAAACTATTTCCATACTGAAGAAAGAACACATAAAGATGCATTGTTGCAGTAAAGACTGTTACCTTGTTTAGAAAAAAATCTTCTACTCAGTATAGTTGTATTA